CGTCGCCGCTGCATCGCCGGTGCGGCGCGATCCTTCGACCCCGGAGACTCGCACCCCACTTGGGGGGCCGGCCGAGACTCGGTGCAGTGTTGAGGCCATGCTGCCCTCAGGGGGCAACGTGGGAGGGGGATCTGCGCAGGGGGATGCATCGGTCTTCGGTTGCCCATAGATCGCCGAGAGGGGCCCAGCAGCCCACCCCGCCCAGGAGCGCGCAGATTCGCTATCGGGGCCATGTTGCCGAGCTATCGGCGGCATATCGGCGATGGCAGGTCGATGCTGTGTTCCCCTCCCTGGGCCAGTCCCCCCTCACGTTGCCCGTCGTGCCCAGATGTGCTGGATCCTTTTAGAGGATCGCATCTGGGCCTCTTAGATGTCCAGTCGTGGACGCTGTAGGGCTTCGCGGAGTGCTGTCTCTTCCTTTCTCCCAGCCGAGACTCGAAGGAGAAACCAAAACACGTAAGCATGTACAATTTCGGAGCTCCGCGCGGACTTCGTGGATCGCCGTTGAGCCCCCTGGCGGCGCTCCAGCGCCGATCCAAGAAATCCGCGCGGGCCTCCGAAAGCTCATCATGCTCGTGTAGCTGTTATGGCTCTGGGGACCGTTGCAGAACGACGGACCAGTCGGCGAGCCCGGCCCTGCGCCGTCGGCGAGCCCTCCCCAGGCCCCGAGGCGCCGTGGCAAGCTCGGCGCTGGCGTCCTTCAGCGATTTCGGTGGCCGGGGGCCGCTTCGTGGCCGCGACGACGAGCAGTCCCGGGCACGGGGCCGAGGCAGGCCCGCTGGGGGCCCCCTGGTGGCTTCGACACCCCTCCACGAGGAGGTCCTCGGCGCGATGGGCGCCCCCACCCCCCCCAAGGGGGGTTCGGCCGGGCCGCCCGCGGGGTACGCTACCGAGGAACCCCACATACGTAACCTAATCAGAGGCAGCAGCGCGGAATGGGGACTCCCCGCTGCAGTGTCCCGGCGGAGAACCGCAGGTCACGCCCGGAGGCCGCGAGGAGGGCATCCACCTCCACGCCCATATCCTCCTTGGCGTTGCTATCGTGATAATATGTGCGCCATCCTGCGTTCTGAACCCTCGTCGCGAACGTTTTCTTACTTGTCATCCAGCACACCATTGCCCGAACCTTCTCCCTCTTCCCCGCCGTCTATCCTCCATCGAGGAAAGGTTCGAGGCGATCGCCGAGGGCCGTTTCCTGGGGCGGCAGCAAGCAATGAGGTAATGCAAGACGATTTGCCACATCGCGCTTAGTGTCGGCGGGCACACGGTGGAAGTTGGTGCAAGTTAAACCCCTTGCGCAATCGCTCTAGGGAGCCTCTACAGCGATACTTTCTCCCTCCCCTCATGCTGCATTCTCCCGCACCGCTGCCTCCCTTTCTCACCTATTTCGGCCTACTGCTTCTCTATTCTTCCGCATGCAGTTTCCACGTCTGCCCCCGCGTCTCGTCGACGGAGAGCTGCGCGCGCAAAGGAATTTCAAACCAAACATAGTCCGCCTGCATGCCTTCTGTGAGTGCCCTGCGATGGAAAACCTCAGGGCTGCGTTTGGCACGTGGACCCAAGATGGGCGGGCGCTCCAAAATCGTCAGGGAGCGGCTCGGGCCGCGCCAATCCGATGCGGCTGGACAGCGCTGGCTTTGTCGGAAAGACTCAGGCGCCCGTGCGCTCCAACGACCTCACGCCGCCTGCAAGATCCACTGGCGTTCCAGAGCGAGGGCCTCGATCTCTCTCGTCTCCGCGGCCTTGCGCTCATCGACCTTCTGGAGGGTTTTGAGCACAGATTCCCGAAATTGGGCATGCACGCGGACGGCAAGTAGAGGTTCGAAATGGCATCCATAACGCAGGCCAAGAAATCGAACATTCTCTCCTTTGCCAGCGAGATTGAGTCCGCATGGGCGAGACTCATGGTTCTGAAGTCCGCCCAGGCAGCGAGGACCTGTGTGACGCGCTTGATCCTGACAGGGTCGGGGCGCGGGTCCTCCTGGTCAGCTGCGTAGAGGAACTTCACCGCATCCAGCATTTCTGCCAGGGCCGCCTGCCGCGTGCGGTGCGCGACGCCTTCCGCGCGGCGCAAGTAATCGATGCCATGAGACTCCGCGGTGGTTCCGTCCATGGCCAGGAGGCGACGTCGCTCACCTCCCCGTAGAACTTGGCGCTAGTTCCGCCGACCACGTCAGAAGGCGAACAGACGAAGGGTAGGCACATCCACTCTGTAGGAGCCAGCGTTCGTAGAGTACCTGTAAAGCGCCTGTCACAAGTCGGCGTCGTTGCCCTTCCTCGACGGCCGGCACTCCGGATCAGCAGCTCGCTTGATTGCGAATCTAGAGTACCATTTGACTGCTTTCGCGGCCGCTTTCGACGACAAGTTCTCGAGCTGAACTGATTCTCGCAGTTCCCGCGACCGTGGCCCTTGCGACCAACGGTAGTCGGTGTCCGCCGGCTCCGGGGACAGCTGCACGCGAGGCGCGCCAGTGGACCGAACAGAAGTAGCCAACAGAACTGCCGTAGACCGCTGCGGGGCAATAGCCTGCACTGGCAGCGCTTTCGTTGTCGTGGACTTCACGGGCGTGGCCTTCATAAGAGTGGCATGCTGTGCTGACGGGAATTCTGGGTCAGCGCCCGCGCTGGCGGTATCGCGCGCTCGCCGCACTTTCGCCGGCGGCCCGCCACGGTCCCCCCCCTGGCCCCCAGCTGATCTGAAAGAGCCTCGGAAGGGAACCCTACCGACGCTGATATCCGCAGGTACGCCACCAGGCTCTGCCCCTTGCCGTCGTCGGTCATCTCGGAGTACTGCGCGTACAACGTATCGGGCCACCAATTTTCAATCTGGCGCCAGTACGCACTGATTACGGACAGCGCCACTCCGTTTTCGCATCGGCGCGAGTTCCACATTGACCTCGCCGCCCATCAGAACCACGGCGTTTTTCATCGCCAAACACGGAGGTGGCAGGGCGCCCATGGCAATTTCAGGCGGCATGGGTGCCACGCGCAGGAAAGGCGGTTGCTGCATTCAAATGGGAGCACAGGCGCGCTTGCGCGAGAGCGCAGAAGCGCCCAGCCGGCCTGAGCCAAGGTGTTTACAGTTCTGGATGAGACGCGGGCTTTCGCCCGCGCATCCCCCACCCCATGCGCAGCCCTCTGGCGTCAAGGAAGCGCCGAGCCTTGAGCATCGGCCTCCCGCCTGCGGCCACCAAACGTCCCCCTGACGTGTCGAGGAACTGCCACGCCTGTCATGCCCTGCGAGCCCGAAGCGGATAGGGAGACCACCCCCAGCGCACCCCCTGCGGTGTCGAGGAACTGCCACGCCTGCCACGCCTTGCGAGCCCGAAAAGGACAGGGTGACCATCCCCAGCGCACTCCCTGTGGTGTCGAGGAACTGCCACGCCTGCCACGCCTTGCGAGCCCGAAGCGGATAGAGGGACCACCCCCAGCGTACTCCCTGTGGCGTCGAGGAAGTGCCAAGCCTGCCACGCTTTGCGAGCCCGAAGCGGATATGGAGGCCACCCCCAGCGTACTCCTTTACGGTGTCGAGGAACTGCCACGGCTGCCACGCCGTGCGAGCCCGAAACAGCTAGGGAGACTACCCCCAGCGCACTCCCTGTGGTGTCGAGGAAATCCTCGGCTGCCACGCTCTGCAATCTCGAATCGGGTAGGGAGACCATCCCCAGCCCACCCCCTTGTGGTGTCGAGGAAGTGCCACGCCTGCCAAGCCTTGCGAATATTGCGCGTATGTGTTGTGTGGTGTGCGTGTCATGTGTATGATGCGTGTGCGGCTGTATCAGGACGTGTGTCTCCTGTGTGTGCCCAGTATGTGGCGCATACGTCGTGGGTCTATGATGCAGTGAACACGCCATGCGTGCACTGGCGTTGTTGGACTTCGTGTGCGCGTGTGTGTGCGAGTTTGTGCATGCGTGCGGCTGTATGTAGACGCGTGTCTCATGTACGCGCCGTGCATGTGTTGCGCGCGGGTGACGCGGGTGGGAAGAAAACCAGAACCCCACGAAACATGTGGGGAACTCACCACCAATCAAGCCACCCCAACCCAACCCGAAGGCCTCAATTTGCCCTTCATGTCCAGTGGGGAGGATCAGGGAACATTGCGCAACACACACACACACAGAACCCATACCCCCCCAACCTGAACTTCGGGTCTTCGGGTTGGGTTGGGGTGGTTTGATAGGTATTCATAACTCCGGGCCACGGCCCGGCCGAGAGCGGCTGCGCTTCTCCTCCAGGCGGGCGGCACGAAGGCGCGGAGGGAGGAGGAGGAGGAGGCGGAGGAGGCGGCGGAGGAGGAGGCGAGGGAGGAGGAGGAGGAGGAGGAGGAGGAGGCGGAGGAGGACGAGGAGGAGGAGGAGGAGGCGGAGGCGGAGGAGAGGGAGGAGGAGGAGGAGGAGGAGGAGGAGGAGGAGGAGAAGGAGGAGGAGGAGGAGGAGCGGGGGCACGACGTCGAGGTGACCGGGGGCACGGCTGTGCACCCCGTTTCCTGTGTTGTTCTCCGTCTCGAGCGCTCTTCCTCTCTGTCTTTCTTTCTTTCTTTCTCTCTCTCTTTCTCTCTCTCTCTCTCTCTATTTCTTTTTCTCTCTCCCTCTCGCTCTCTTTCTTTCTCTCTTTCTCTCTCTCTCTATACATATGTATATATAGTGTTTTGTGTTTCTCTCTCTCTCTCTTGCTCTCTTTCCCTCTTCTCTCACTCTCTCTACATATATATATGTATATATACATATGTGTGTATATCTCTCTCTCTCTCTCGCTCTGTAGTCTCGGCTCGAAGGGTCCTCGGCCCAGTGTCCGGCCGCGACGCCGAGCGCCCCGCAA